AATGGGGGGAAGGTAGAAAGTCTGCAAACAGTTAATGACAAAACTTATTGGATTCCAGGAAAGCGTTATGATGACTGTACAATATTTTTTAGAAAAACTCTCATTGGAAAGCATCCTAAATCTGTTTGCAATCCACTTATTCCAGGATTTCTTGATTTATGTATCTCACTTCAGAGATCAGGAAAGAGCAAGAAAAAGTGGGTTCACTGGGAGATAAAAAATGACCTTACAAGCACACAGAAGTCCGACAGAGTAGCAGGGCTGGTAACCAGACTGAACCAGTCGAATGCTAGAGGGCTGGATTTGGGGTCTCCCACTTATAGTCCACAAGGTGAGGAGAAATTCCCCCGGAGTGACTCTGGGCCGGTCACTCTCTCTCCCTTCCTTTTAGAAGGACCGGCCTCCCACACTTGCCATGAGGTTACTGAGGGGAGCAGGGGAGCCATTTGTGCGCCTCATGCTCAAGGGGGAACCGGGACTCCCGTTTAACTCACTGATTCATTCATTCATGAAAATAAGCATACACTGGGAAGACAGCCTGACTGGGGGCACTGGAAAAGAGGCGGGGTTTCTAGAGAGCAGGATGCTCTTTGGGAAGACTGCAGGGATGTGCCCAAACTGGAGAACGGGAAGGATGAGGGGGTGTCAACGGGGGTGTTTAAGGGAAGCCAGCGAGTGGAGAGAAGGACAGAGGGGGGTGTCCCCCATTTCCACCAGTGCCTCTTACCCCCCTGCCCGCCCTCCTCTCCGGGGTGTCTCTCCATCCGCGTCCCCTTCAGCCCCTTCTCTCTCCCTCCCTCCCTCCTTCCCTCCCTGCCTGCCTGTCACTCACGCTGTGCTTCCCCGGCGCGTGCTGCTTGAAGGTGGTCGCGAGCGAGATGGGGGGCACCACGGCCAGGGAGTTCCATTGTTCGGGCTCCTGCCCCACGTGGATGGCCTGGGTGGCGAAGTGCCGGAAGGGCGGCAAGAACCCGCGGCTCGGCTCCGCTGGAGCGCCTTCCATGGTGGGGGATCCTCGCGGCGGCGGCAGGTGCCTCCTTCCCTCTCGGTCGCTAGGAAGCCCGGCGGATGTGCCCACGACGGGTCCGCGGCGGCAGGAGCAGGAGCGGGAGCAAGGCTGAGGCTGGCGCAATCTCTGGATTTCGCCCTCTGGCTGGCAGGGACAGCTGCCCC